TGGGCGGGGGAGGGGGCTGCAAGGAAGAATTTGGTCTTTTCTTTAGCAAACTCCTTCCTCTGCACTCTGGGTCTTGGGAACATGGGTTATGGATAAGCCTACAAATTTATGGGGAAGGACTGGGACACATGATGTACTGAAGACATTGTGAAATATCTCAGCCCCATGAATTGCATTTCAAGGCAGCTCAATGAAGGCACTTTTAACCTTCTGTCCCACTCAATTAAACACGGGGACAGGCTTCTACTCTGGTTCTTTTTCCTCCAGTGTGACTCCAGGTTAGACAAGAGTTAATGTTTCTGTTTTTTTAAAGTAAAAAACAGAAAAGAAACCATAATTTCCCTCCTTTAGAATAATAATAAAAAAAACATAGTAATCTTTAAAAGGCAAAATACATGGGAAAAAAATCTTAAAGCCATGGCAAAATATACTGCAAATAGATCAAGCTCTTTCAATGTGACCAAAATTAAATACTAAGGGCAGGATTTTCAAAGCTGTCTGGATGATTTGGATTTTCAGTTCTCACTATTAAATGAGAAATCTAAGCCTAAGGAGAGAAAATACATATGAAGCCAAATCTAGAATAACTGCCACTGACATTTGCATTATGGCTGTTCTATTTTAGATATCTCTGTAGAAATGCCATTACAGGATAAGCATTCATGATGCAAACATATTTCATAATTGATGATGCAAACATACTTGAGAAGCTAACCTTTCTGAATGTGCACTGGAGATTCACAGAAATGTATATAATTGCCTTGTATACTAGGTCACTTACTTTGGTTCTGATGATGAGTGGCAGTGGAAGCAAGAGCAGTGGGGTGAGGAGAATGAGCAGGAACCTTCGAAAGACCAACAGCTGACTGAAAATCTTCATCGTTGGTGACTGGAGGCTCAGCTTCCCTGCAGAAACTACCAAAAAATCAGATGGCCTTTAAGTAGCTGCCTCGGATTAATATTTTTCTAAACTATCACCTTTAGCCATTGCAAAAGATGGGCTAGTGAAGCTCAGTTAAAATTAAATCTTGTTCTTTATTGTTTTAGTGTCTTTATTAACACTAGGGAGATAAAGTTTATGTTCACCAATAACCTGAAGCTAGATTTTTCCCTTCCTTGTAAGGTGAGATGTTTCCTTACAATTTTCTTTTGCCCTTGAAAATGTATTTTGATAAACTGAATAGGGGATAGTGAGCCAGACATGGAAAGGTGTTAAGAGATTTCTAATAATTCTTGAACTGACGATAACCCATATTGAACAGGAAGCATTTGCCCTCTTCATACATTCAGGCCCAAGGACAGGTTACCTCTTTATGCAAATGCACCTTCCAAGTAACTCAGGAATTTTAAGTATGTTGGCAGAAGAGGTCTCTTGATTACTGCTTGACTACATGTATGTGAAAGAGAAGCATAAAAAGGGCCTTAGAAACTGAGAAGAAAACCAGACAGAGCCATTGTCTTTGGTAAAGGTAAAAACAGAAAAGGGCAGGGATGAAAATCATCAGTGATTTGGACGAGGGGGTAAAAAGCACCCTGTTCAGATTTGCTGATGACACTAAGATGTGGGGGGACGTGGGCACACTAGAAGGAAGCAACAGGCTACAATCAGACCTAGACAGGTTACAAGGGTGGGCGGATGAGAATAGGATGGGTTTCAACACAGACAAGTGCAAGGTGATGCACCTGGGGAGGAACAACCGGCACCATACCTACAGGTTAGGGAACTCCCCTCTTGTCAGCACGGAGGCGGAAAAGGCTCTTGGAGTCATCATTGACTCCAAGATGAACATGGGTC